AGATAGATAGATAGATAGATAGATAGATAGATAGATAGATAGATAGACAGAGCAAGCTGGAAAGATGGCTTAGTGGTTAAGAGTACTGGCTTCTTTTCCAGAGGACCACAGTTTAATTCCCAGTACCCACAAGGCTGCTCATAACCTCTGTAACACCAGATCCAGGGGGTCTGATGGCTCCTTCCAGCCTGTGGACACCAGGGATGCACATGGCACACAGACATACATGCAGGCAAAACACCTATACATATAAAACTAAAAATAAATAAATTTCAAAAAGCACAGGCCCGCCAGGCGGTGGTGGCGCACGCCTTTAATCCCAGCACTTGGGAGGCAGAGGCAGGCAGGCGGATTTCTGAGTTCAAGGCCAGCCTGGTCTACAGAGTAGTGAGTTCCAGGACATCCAGGGATATACAGAGGAAACCCTGTCTCGAAAAACCAAAAAAAAAAAAAAAACCACAGGCCCTGGATATTCTCAACCTGAATTAGAATAGCAGTTGCAGAGGGAGAAGCACATTTAGATGCACTACAAAAGGTTCTCTCAGTAATCCTCAGACTCCTGACTAGGGTTGTCGGGTTGAAAGAGATTGGCTTCTCAGCTGAGGAAAGAATGCTGCTACTATTCCTGATAGAGACAGGATGATAAGAGAAGTGGACCAATCTACAGACGACATGTGTTAAATGACACTATACAAAGACCCTGCTGACAGGGGCCGCTTCTGAGGCTGAGAGTTCCCACTTCCTAGGTGACATCTGTACAGCTATTACTAATTGATACTTATTCTTAGCAATCAACAGCATGATACCCATGACTTCCTGTGAAGACCACAAAGCGCCATGCTTTAGAGGTGTGGAAAGCTCTTGCTTAGCTGGAATGAGGAGGCATGCAGACACATCTCCATACAGAATTATGCTGTTAGTTATACCACAGAACTCTCATTTGACTCTATTACACTCACTGTATTCATTTAACATGCCACCCCACTCCCGCCAAAAAGAGAATTTTAAGTAACTTTCTTAAGTCACTGAGAAAAGAAGTTGTCTAGTTCTCTTCCTTCACCCTGGATTTTGAGAGTCTGCACCTTTGAGACAAATGAAATTATTCTTTCTTCCATCCTTCTTTATGCTCTGAGCCCTCACTTCTGTTCGTCCCATGAGACTCCATCTGCCACTTCGTGCCGTCAAAGAGCACCTGGTCCAACCTGACCACAGCTTGTCACATTCTGACACTTTGTTTTCATCCAAGAAGAGGATGAGGCCTTCAGATTGTGGGGTAACCCGAACACTTTTGTAAAGTGGATGTGAGAGGTGTGTCGAAGTCTAGCTATCCGATGACTCAGGAACTACACTTTACTGAGCTCACGGGGCAGTCCATACAATAGACAACACTATAGGTTAATACTCAGCTGAATGCAATAAAATCAGATCTAATACACTGGAATCAGAAGGGAAACACTTCCAAACATCCTTGGAGTAATCTAGTCTGTAGCCTTGTACATATAGAGGTCCCAAGGGGGAACAGGTCACAGAATAGCTAAAGTCTCCCCCCCATGGTTATCCTGGGCTCACACTATGTGTGCAGTGTGGCTTCCTGAACTGAGGTCTTGCATTTTAAATGCACAGTGGAAATAAACATAGTAAACATAAGGAAACAGGCTGGGCAAACATCTACTTTAATTTATGTGAGGTTAATTTTGCCACAAAGGTTACAATGTAAGACAATCCACAATCTTGTGTAAGCAAAATTCAGAATATCTAAGTGTGAATCCTAAGTAGAAGGAAGAAAAATCCTGAGTTTCAAAGTTTAAGGGACGTACTAAATACAGCTTGGTAGAAATAAAAAAAAAATATCTGAAAACCACCTACCTGTGAGTTTGATCTTGGACAGCCGGGCCAAAATGCCAGGCAGATCGTCAGTGTGAAGCTTCATCTCTTTCCACTGCCTTTCTTCCTTTTTCTCTTTGGCTGTATCAAGGGAATGGTCCACTATGGAGGTCGTCTCCAGCTCCACCAACTCCTCATCTGGCTTCTGGGACAGAGGCAGACTAGGTGCTGGGAAAGATGGCAGCTCATCCACTCCTGCTCTAGCCTGCCCTGAAGAGGTGTGTTCAAGGAAAGGAGAAGCCGGTGGCTCTGGCTTTGGTTTGACTCGCTGGCTAAGGCCCCTGTGCAGCTGTGTGACATACTAGACAGACAGACAAATAGCACACATTACTAAAAACAAGGATGTCGGTTAATGTCTTCCACCAGTCATAATTTTATGGTACTTGGAAAAGTGTCCTACATTTAAGATTGGTTAGCACAGCAAACACCAACAGTTTGTGTAACACAGACATCAGCACTGAAAGATGCAGACGCAAAGTTAATTCCTTGGCTATGGTTTTAAATTTATGGTTTAGGAAAATCTAGGAACATACATTATTCACTGTTATTCACTGACCTTTCTGAAGGATGGGCTTTCTAAATACAAGGACGCTATCTACTGATATCGCCAAGGTCAGCTTTGGCCCGCTGAGCTCTAAAGCAACTGTCCATGGGAGCTCACTGGAAGGCCTCACAGGGCCTCTTACAGCCATGTAGGAATGCGGGATGTAGTAAGGACACGAGTTATAGAGCTATTGATAGTTTTGACTATCACTCACTGAAGTAAAAACTGGTAATTTCTAGTGACATTATGAGACCCCTTATTTCTCATATCAAAATATATTTCAGTTAATCTTCCCAACAGTATTACTATTTATAACTCTTATAATTCTTATAATAGTTCATTATTTGTAACTCTTTTATTTATAAGTGAGAACAAACTTCTAAAATTGACAAAACTGAATTTTAGTAAGATTTAACATTCTTTAAATTTTAAGCTAAAGTGGATATTTTAAATGAAAGGGTAAGATGCTTCCAAATAGAACATTAGACTATGAATTTGGAAGCCATTCACAGAAGTGCTGTGATTTTATAGCTGTATTCTCCGACCCTTTTCTATACAATTGAGTCATAACGCTGTCGCAAGCTTATGGTGTGTCAGCATGTATATAGGCCAGTAAAGGAACTAGGTCATCAGTGCCCCTGTAACAGCACTGGCAAATTACAAAATCTTTATTTTAGTTGACTCAAAAGTTTGTGTGTGTGTGTGTGTGTGTGTGTGTGTGTGCATGTTCACATGTAGAGAGGGTAGAAACACAGTCACAGGTCAACCTTGAGTGTCTCTCCTCAGGAGACATACATCTTAGTTTTTGAGAGAGTCTCATCAAATGAGCTGAGTTGCTGGGCAGTGAGCTCAGGGATCCTGATTTTGCCTCTTCGGAGCTGAGATGACATGTGCTCACTAGTTCCATGCCTAACTCTTTATGTTGGTTCTGAGGATCGAACACAGATCTTCACGGTGGCAATGCAAGTGCTTTACTGACTGACCTGTTCCCCAACCCCTCAAAAGTAATTTTAAAGACTTTTCAAATTTACAGATGATCTAAGAAAATAAAGGCGTCACACTGTTAAACAACTACTTCTGTATTACTGACGTATTTACAGAACTTCAAAGAATGTATAAAAGATGCATCGTACAAGTTCAGCTTTTCCTAATTTTAGCCTGGTTGAAATATGCCATAAGTTTTCAATCTTTCTCCAAACTTAATCAATAAATTCAAGATCATATATTTAACCTCAAATGCCAGAATAATTCTGGTTTCAGTTAAGAATAATCAAAACAAGAGATTAAAGTTTTGGATAAACTTAAGAGAACACTAAATAAAAGCCCCTTTCAAACAGTACTTCCTAAAACTTTTCTTCTAATAGGAATCTTTGCAACCCCAAACCCAGAGAAAAGCAGAGGCAGAAAGCAACTGAAGGATGGCTTCTACTTACCATGCGCTTGAGGAAACTCAAGTGCTGGACCGTGACCCACTGATTATTGACATTCCTGAACAGATGTGTGACCCTGTGTGGCAACCCCTGTATAGCTCTTCTCTCTAAATACCACACACATCCTCCTACTGAGCCTGAAACAGAGAGACAAGAAAAGGGAGACATGTAGAAATGACAGCTGTTCATTCACAGTGCCCACATCCAGCTAGAGGCAAAGCCAAGCAGACTACTGCTCTGGTTGAGGCCAGGCTTTAAACTACCTCTGCTTCCAACCCTGGAATACGTGCCACCCAGTAGCCTTAGGCTTAGGTCAGGGACAGTCTTCAGGAGGACTGGGGAAACGTCACTCTCACATCATTATGCTTACAACAATTCAGTGGAGAGTGGAGACTACCACACTGTAGATGTTTCTAAGAAGAAAATACAACTCAGTGAGTTCACTTTCTAAAAAGTAGAAAAGGCAGCATACATCTTTTCTTACTAAATGCCAGTAAACTGAGTTGAAGCTTTCCATTTTGATTGTGGTTGTAAAGTTAAGACAACTACAAGGAAGGGGAAATACTTTTCAGTAAAATATGACCAGCAACCCAGGTAGGAATAAGCTGCTTCTGTTGATCCAAACCTGGATTTTAATCACTTTACTAAACCTCTCAAATCAACATGAGAACATATATATATATATATTTCTCTCTCTCTCTCTCTCCCTCCTTTCCCCCCTCTCCCTCTCTCTCTTTCACATGATGACATGATGGTCATGGACTCTAACCCTCTAGAATCTTGAGCCACATAGTAAATTCTTTCTTTAGTAAGTTACCTTGGTCATAGTGTCTCTTCACAGCAAAAGAAAGGTAACCAAGACAACTACTTATCCCTAAAAAATGGGTAGCTATTAATCTTTAACACATTGCTGAAGCCCCAGTATGCCTAAATCCAATTGCTTTTGGTGTCTCCATGTGAGTGGACAGTCTTAGGTCTCTAAGGCCATTTCTTTCTCACATGCATCTCTATCTTTTATTGCAGGTTTCAGGAGCACCTTGAACTCTTCCTTTCTCACCTAATGGATCAACAAGTCCACTCAATTCTGACATGTTGGTCAACTCTGTCCCTCTCTCTCTATTCCTACCGAATGATCTTACACTGGAGCAGAGTAATAGCAGTCAAAGTGAAGACAGTCATCCAGACTTCATGTACCTCCTTTCTTTCCCAACGCATGTTTCACAGATTGCACCCCTTAAACTTCCCCAAACAACACCACCATCCTGAGACTGAAGTTCCAATGACTGTGCCTGTATTCAAACCACCAGACCCAACATATACTACTCACACCAACAAAGATACCTACTTCAGCACAGCAACACTGCTTTAAGACGTTAGAACTAAGCAGACTATACATAACTGAATCAACTTTACTTACACTATTTCCTTGTATGCCATCTATTCTCTACCTATCAAATTTTCAATCTCTTTCTACTATTCTATCATGTTATAACATGTTTTATGACAGCACTTTTTTTCTTTTATTCTTCTCTCATATATTACATCCTGACCACAGTTTCCTCTCCCAGCCTTCCAGCCCAACCTCCCCTCTCCCCCAGATCCACTCCTCCTCCATTTCCCTTCAGAAAAGGGGAGGCCTCCCAAGGGCTATCACCAAACATAGTATAACAGGTTACAACAAGACTAACACATACCCTCATATTAAGGCTGAGCAAGGCACCACAGTAGGAGGAAAGGGGTCCCAAGAGCAAGCAAAAGAGTCAGAGACAGCCTCCACTCCCACTGTTAAGCATCCCACAAGAACACTGAGCTATACAACCATAACATACATAGAGAGAGGACCTCAGTAGAACTCATACAGGCTCCCTGACTGTTGGTTCAGTTTCTGGTTAGTTGATTCTGTGGGCCATGTTCTTATGGTGTCCTTTGACCTCTCTGGCTCCTACAACCTTTCCTCCTCCTCTTCCATGGGCTTCCCAATCTCTGCTTAGTGTTTCGCTGTGGATCTCTACATCTGATGTCTTCCAAATGCAAACTGTTCCCATCTGTTATAGAATGCAGTGCTCTGAATAAATCAGCCTCCATCTTCATCAGACTGTCAGTGCCTGCTTGCAAGAGCCCATCAGGATCCAGCTTGATAGCTGCTGGCAAGCCTTCTTAGAAGGGTTGGGGAGGACTTGGACTCTCATCTGAGATTGCCTTAACTTCATGTGGCCTCAGGGCTTAGAGATACCAGAGTAATAAGGCTGGGAAAGGTTCCCTTTTGTGGCTATGGGGAAGCCAACACCCAGATTGGGTCCAAACTTGCGAGTGCAGCTGCTCTGAGATCCCCTCCTACTCCTGTCAGTAGCCCCCCGTAAGCAACCCAATAAAAACAATGGTTCCCTAAGTTGAACTTCCGTAGAATCACATTTTGGTTTTTGATTAGGACCTTATGATGAGAGAGTAGGCATTGTTTCCGTCTCCCCAAGGAAAGATTTCTCAAAACACCATCATCATAGTGTTTAGTACTTTGATGGCAGAGTCTCTCCTTTAGTCAACACAGCTCCTGGACATTTGCCATATAATAAAGTGAAATGGTGTTTGGTAAGTGACAACCCCAAGTAGACTTCCTGAATTGTGAGAACAAGTCCCACCCTTGGAAATACAAGGCCATTATCTGAAAGTAGAGGTGAGCCAATTGGCACTGAAGTCATATCTTCAAATCGAAATTATGACATGATTACTTTCAGGTGAGTGGATATATATGTTTGCCTATGGGCAAAGCTGACATTTTACAGAACGGCAGTAACAACACCACTATGAGGGGTGGGGAGGGACACAGCTTACAAAGTGTATTTGTAAATGATGGCAACACTTGGTTTAGTCAAAGTATGTCAAGTGTTCATGAACAAATACCTAGAAAATGAAAGCTATTTTAGACCTGAGTAAACACATATGCACTTTAAGATACCTAGGACTTTCAACAGATACATTAAAATCTGAAGAGATAATCAGAACACCTGTATTCATCATTAACACTGGACTGCGACTGTAGGGCTCGGTTTTTAAATCAAGTAAGAAGACTTGAAGTTCCTGAACCATATTTAATGGAAATGAAACCAACCTGAACTTTTATGAGTCAACTCAGAAGTAACTGCTAATTACTTAACAACCCTAATGATCCTTCTCTGCCTACTCTTCCTATCAGCCTTCTGAGAGGGATCTTTCATAGCCTTAAATATGAGCAGATTTTTCTAAAGATATGCTCAATTTCAGAAAATAAGCTATTAGTTCCCTCTATTTTACCACTCCAGAGACTGATCCTGAAACGGGGGGTTTGGGGGAGGCTCATATGCAACCTATCTCCTAGCACTATGAGACTTAAGAATCAAAACAGATTTGTCCTATAAGAAGCTGAAATACTAAACAGGTAGAAAAAAAGGCTCCTCTGAGGAATATGTATATAAAGAATTTTCCATATAAACACTAAGAAGAGATGGGTCCTCTAAACATGAGTACCAAGGGTCAGCATCAAGGAATATTCGCAATCAGGGATTACAGAAAGTAACAAAGAAAATGTCAGTCATATAAAAACAGAGGTGTCCAAGGAGTCTCCATTACTTATCTCCATCTTCAACAATTACCAAGTACTGGCCTAATCTTGTCTCTTCTACCCACCCTTCCACTTGCTGCCCTATTTATGAGCCAGAAGGTACCTTTGAGATCATCTAGCTCTGTCACCTCATTATAGACACTCTGAATGTTTCATTAAAGAAAAGTCAAATGATCTGCACTGAACTCACACAAACTCATGGGAGAAAAGAGCTTCACAGAAGCACAGTGATCAGCACAGTCAGCCAGACACTGTGGGCAGTGTGTATGGGACAGGAAAGCCTACAGAATAGTTCTGGGATGTGAGAGGGTACACCTTGACTTCTACTACCTTGTCTGTACTATGGACAACTTTGCCATCATCCATGGATACTAGCCACAAAACCAACCTCCTCTTTAATATTTCTACCAGTACAATCGCATTCATTCACAAATGACTGAGCATCATCAGTGTCCATAGGCATTGCTCTGGACATGAGGGATACAGTGGTGAACTAGGGAGACAGACGATCTCTACCTTCACAAAGTGTGTAACTTTTAACTGGGAGAAAATTTTTGTACATCTGTATTGCATGTGTGAACAATTATAGCATGTGTTAACCATGATAAATTAATATAAGAAAAGAAAGATAAAGGCTCCTATTGTAGGTAGAGTGCTAAGGTTGGCCTCTCTGAAAAGGTAACATATAAGGCTCGTTCAAGAGTCTGTGATAAATATACATCTGTCAAAAGTCCTTCTGATGGAAGGAGCCATACTGATGGTACAGCGCTGTCTCAATGGGATTCAGTTGGCAGTTATCACTATCCAGGTTATCATCGTAACACTTTAAGCTGGAAGACAGCTCCTTAACAGGGGCAGGTGCGCCTTTTGTCATTAAAAGGCAATGGCTAGGAACCGCGGCTCTCATATGCCAGTCTTGTGGAGCCCCATGGTTTTCCCTGCCCTCCAGCTTGCACCGTCTGAAACTCCAAAGAGCACGGGACATCAAACGTTAGGGACTACCTGGCTTACGGTGCAAAGCTGGTCCACAGTTCCTGGCCTCGTCCCTTCAGGTAACCCCAAAGGTCACCTCCCTGCTAAGTGACAAGCCAAGGGCTTCCAAGGTTGCAGGCAGCCGGAAACACCGTCCCGCGCGTGACAAAAAGAAAATAATTCGCCCATGATCGTTCCCAATCAGGTACAATACCTGTGAGGAGGCGCGAGGAAATAGTGTGCGGGGACGCGGCCATAACGCACTGGTGCAGCAGTCCCTAGGATCCCCGCGTCCTCTCACCTCACCGGCTCCTGGGCGCCGCCATCTTGCTAGCCCGCCCTCTAAGTGAGGCGGGACTTCCTCTCGTCACTTCCGGCTCCCAGTGGTCTGGGAAATCTAGGCTACCGGAGTTTATAGAGATCCGACGGTGGAGCCTTCGCTTTCCCCTCAGTTGCTGCAGATCTAGACTAGGTGAACGCGATGCTCCCGAGGGACAAATCGCCGGAGCGTGCAGGCGGAAGGGGTGTTGTGGCGGGGTTAGGGCTCTGGAGTCGGCCTAGCCCGGCAATCCCCTCAGCTTGAGAGAATTGAATGCTTCCTCCATTGTCACCCAGGCTGATCTTGCCAGCCTGTTGGCTTCTCGTGGAGTTTGGTAAGTGAAAGAACGAGGGAGAAAGGAACTCCTTAAAAGAGCGAAACATGTCTTACAAGGGCAGTTTGTGCTTGCTTTCAGCGGTGAGGTGCGATCTCTGTGGTTCACCTCAGATGCTAATCAGGAGGCACTGAGACCGGAGTTCGTGTAGGAGCATGCGCTGTGTCTCTGCAGTAAGAGCTGGTCCTTGTGAGAGGCGACCTGATAGGGAGGGATAAGGTAGAAAACGCTATGGAATGAGGTTAACATTTCTGTGAAGTAGGCTAAAGAAATGCATTGAAGAGCCAACTGCTGCTCAGTAGAAGGAACTGTGAGTTTTTTTTTTTTTTTTTTTTTTCAGTTTACCAGAAAGACAAGTGCAGAGAATGGGATTGATTCTCTGAGGCCCATCACAGTTCATCACTGCGGATCTAGGCTGATGGGTGTCCCCATCAAAACTAAGGAAGAAGAGGATGGGTTCCTGGTGAATAACTGAAAAGTTAACAACTTTATTCAGTCCACTGTTTTGCAAGCACTTTGAACATCCCGTGCGTGTTAGGTGAAATATCACAAAATGCAAGCCTTAAATACACAGATGAAAAGTACAATTTGGGATATAATCACACCAACAGTGAGTGTTGCTTAGATAAGTTAGGGCTTCTGCTTTGCAACCATCTTGGCTAATTAGACCCACTCTTCCTGGAATGCTGATCATCAAAAATTAGTTAGCCCTTTACAAACTAGACCTTAGATGCCTAGCTGGATGATTACATGATATGGAACCTGAGGGCTAGAGAGATTGAGTGGTTCAAACAAGTAAATTGTACAGCAATGCTTCCTTTCTCCTTATAGTTGTCTCTTAAAACTGTACACTTCTAAGATGGCTGTAAACAAAATTAATCAATAGCTAGAGTTGGCAAGTTAGTGAAGAAGTAGGGATCCTGATACATTGCTTGTGGGAATGTAAAATATTGTAGCTGAAAGGTTTTCACGCACAGCTTGTAACAGATCACAGCAGACCAGATGGTTCCACGAGGGAGAGTTTATTAAGAGAGAGGGAGAGCGAGAGGAGAGAGAGAGGAGTAGAGAGAGTAGAGGCTGGCCATGACCACATGGAGAGGGGGAAGGGAAGTGGGGAGGGGAGACAGCAACCTGCAGGTGCTGGGTAGAGGGGAACAAGAGTAAGAGAGAGAGGAGGGGGCAGGCCTACCTGGCTGTTGCCAGGTAACTGTGGGGAGGAGCATACCTGGCTGTTGCCAAGTTACTGTGGAGGTGGAGTTTAACAGATTACTAACAGTAGCCACTTTGGAAAAGCAGTTTAGGTGTTTTTCAATAAGTTAAACACAGTGCTACCTCATGACCCAGTTGTGCCTTTCCCAGGTATATACATACCCAAGACAAATCACAGCATTCACTCATAATATAATATCTCAAAGTGGATATAACTTAAGTATTCATCAACTGAGTATACATATTCTGTGATATATCCACATAGTGGCCTATTTGCCATGAAACGAAAATAAAGTACAAATACCTACAACAACCATGAAAACAATACTAAATTGAAGAAGTCAATCACAAAAGACCATGTATTAGATAGTTTACATGTATATGAAAATTTCAGAATTCTTAAATCATTAAAGACAGGCAATAGGTAAGTAATTACCTAGTGCTAGTAGAAAGAGTAGAGAGAAAAGAGGAATGTTGCTGTTGGGTACAGGGCTCCTTTAGATAGAAAGAAAATGAAAATATTCTTAAATTGATTATGATGGTGGTACAACTCTCAATATACTTAAAAACTTAGTGTAGACAATTGATACCAATTTTTTAGATGTAAAATCTCTATGAAGATAGTTATATACAATTGCCTTCCTATATTTCATTCATACATGAGTACATTATGACAATAATAGGTATTGTTTTCATAGAAATATTCTAAAGACTGTCCAACTCTGTCTTAGGGGTTCTATTGCTGTGAAGAAGTACCATGACCACAGCAACTCTTAGAAAGGAAAACGATTAGTTGAGAGTGGTTAATAGTTCAAAGGTTTAGCTCATATCACCATGGTGGGAAGCATAGTGGCACTCAGGCAGACGTGGTGCTAGAGAACTGAGAGTTCTATATCTGCATCTGAAGGCAGCAGGAAGAGACTGCTATACTGAGCCTGGCTTGAGCATTTGAGACCTCAAAGCTCACCCCTTAGTGACACACTTTCTCCAGCAAGGCCACACCTCCTAATAGTGCCATTCCCTATGGGCCTATGTAGGTGATTTTTTTCAAACCACCACAAACTCCCTCAGTTTTTCCATCATGCCAGCTTCTCACTAATAATGAGTTCCCAGCCTCTTCTTAGTATTCCGTGGCATAAGCACACCTCCTTTCTGAAAAAAGACTTACGACAGGGATAAGTCAAAACAAGTATATTAATGGACATGCGTTGGGGTGGTCCCTTTGTTCCTTGCTACCGAGGCAAGCACTCCTAAGCTCTACCACAGCCCCATGCTGATTCTTTGAATGATGAGAAAACTGCAAGAGGACTCAGCTACTGCTAGGGAGTAACATCTTTAAAAGGTGCTTCCAGGAAGCACAGATAGGAAGCAGGGAGGAAGAGAAACTGCTCCCTTCTCCTTCCACCACTCTTGCTGCATTGTGGCCCTCATGCACAGAGCCATGCAGGGCACCTGCAACCATGTGGTTGGCCCATCCCCAGCCCTAGGCACAGTTTGACATGGCAGCTTTGTAGATTATTGGTGGGAATTCTTTGAGTAGATGTTCTACTCTTAAGTGATTGGAGTTTACATCCTCCTGGCAACTTGACCACCCAGCTCAGCTCCCCAGAGTTCCTCCTTGTTCCTCTAAGGTGACTGATCACGTCAGGGTGGGAATCATCCTCTGCGATCATTCCAGATAGGAACCTCAATTATAGTCTGCCAGCACCCTTTCCCATCCTTACTTTCCAGGGCTCAGCTGCAGCAGTGAGTCTTGGGATACTAAATGGGAAGATTACAGTTATTTAGAATGGGAGAGTAGTAGGAAAGTTCCCTGGGTAAACTCTCTTTGCCACCTTTGTAATAAATAGACTCTGATTATATCGAGGGATGAAGAATTCCCAATACCAAAGAGGAGTAAATCATGGTTGCTTTCAGATGGCATAATTTCATCCACTTCACCTGTCACTCCGTTTTCCAGAGTTTTGGACAGTAGGATGGCTGTGTTGCTGAGACAGGAGAGGAAAAAGAGGAGCCTGCTGGTGAAGGTCTGGAGAAATTTTTTTTTTGTTGTTTACTGAACATGTAAAGGAAGGTATTCTTTCTGCCTTGCCTATTTTATTTTCAGGAAGCAGGGTTGGGAATGAACCCTGGAGCTGAGACAGCCGTCCTGAAGCTATAACAAGCCCGAAGAATAAATAAACCCCAGTTTCTTGCATCCTGGGCAATGTGTTCAGTGAACGGCCTAGGGGGCTGAACAGCCTGTATTAAAGCTTGCTGAAGATACATGAGACAGAGACAACTGAGATTGTGGCAGCTCTCCAAAAAGGCTGCCGTGCCCAGTGAAAAAAGACAAAGTCAAATAGAGTGCAGTTTTGTTTTGTATTTTTGTTTTTATCAGATGACCTCAGTATGTAGCCTACAACTACTGTCTTTAAACTGGTATTTCTCCTGCTTGAGCCTTCTGAGTAGTAGGAATGCAGATATGTACCATCAGGTTGAGATGTTAACCATTTCTAATATAAAATAAACCTGTAATGCTTTAAGTAACACTAAAAATAAAAGACCATTTTGTACAGCTTTGTTTCATGTTTCTTGTTTACTGTGCACCTATCTCCTATGGTGAAGTCAGCATATCTGGTTTACCACATCAGGAAGCCATCTCTCTCCTTGTTTGGTTCTTTTCACCATATTGGAGCCTAGTGATAATAAAATGTTCTGAACATAGTAAAAAACTAATCCCATGTTTGAGAAAATCATAACCTTAAGAACCTTGTTAAAGACTAAAGGTTTTTAGTTATTGGTTTTTAGCTATGGGGAAATGGTTATGTGTTATCATAAGTGAACCATAAGTATTAAATACTATACAAGTCCAAAGTACAAGATGTGGAGAAGACATTTAGCAAGCAAAATCCCAGTTAGGTGACTTCCAGGACAGTAATCTTTCATAAATGACTAAGAATGTGTGGACCTCCTTATATCTTTTCTGGAACCAGCTACTACTTCCTGTCAGTGAGCCTCTTTTTCCAACTACAACTTTAAATTTGGTGTGTGTGTGTGTTTGTGTGTGTGTATGAGCCTCCTCATGTGAGCCATGCCATGTGTTTTGAGGATCAGAGGACAACTTTCAGGAGTTGGTCCTCTCTTCTTCCCATGGGTTCACTCCAGGAGTTGAGTTCAGCTTGTCAGGCTTGCAGGTGAGCATTTGACCAGCTGAGCCATCTGCCATCCCAGGTTTATTTGGTAAGACAATGTGTCCAATATTTGCAAAACATTGTCCTTTAGCACCCAGTATGCTGCTACATAACACTTGCTCATGTTCGTCTTGTTACTTTTGCTCAAGAACTTTTGCTCAAGATACATTGTATCGACATTTCAGATGAGTCACTCATTTTTTCAAATTCGCATTCTAAAGAAATGCCACAGCTAGAATTTAAGCCTGTCTGATACCAATGCACATGTTTTCAATTCTGCTGCATGTCCCTCATGTA